CTCCACATTAAACACGCTGAAAAGTTTCAGTTCTCTCTCAACAGTCGTTGAATTTTTGTGTTTTTCTTCCATGCAGTCGACTATATTCTTAATGTGGAAGATGGTGCAGTCAGAAAGATAGATGTCTTTTGTACATTGCTTGAATGGTCGAGAAAACTTCCCGTTGTTTTATTTTTTGTAAAATCCACACCATCTATCTGATCAACCTGGGGCAGTATGGCCTCTTGCATCCATGAGGCTTATTACAGTCTCATGATCTGTATAAGTGTTGAAAAATATTTGCAGATGTGATCATGGGAACAAAAAGCTGCTTAAAAATGTTATCTCTCAGCTGTTAGAAAGCACGTTGTTGCTTTCTGTGCAGCAGCATGTTTAAGTCCTACTAAATTGGTGGAATGCCTCATAAAATCATTGAAGACACCTTATTTTGTAACATTAAGTGGTAAAGTATGTCACATAAGGTTGTAAAGCTGATATTCTTATCTTTTTATCAATATGAAACAGTATATTAATGTGTACAACTATCAAATAAACTGAACAGTTGATTTTCAATCAGTAAATTTTGTCAGATTTCCGCTCGATGGCATCTATTAATTCTTGATCTGCTAATCGCAAATCATCATAATAGTCATAAAAGGTATATATTACAAAGGGTGCTTTTTAGTCTTTCTATTGATTTTTATTTATTTATAAGGATTTTCCATCTCTATATAGGTCACATTGTTACTAGATCATTTGCATTGACCAACACATGTATTTTGCCATCAGCTTTTTATGCAGACATATCGGATATTTGTTAAAAGAATAAAATAGATTGATGTTTATTCAAGGGGTCATAGAATAATTATATAGGGTATTTGGTGCTGGTCCTTAAATCTACAGTGTGTACCGGTAATAATTACAGGGATATACAGTCGGAAATGTAATATATTATACATAACTATGTTATTTATCATCATCTACGAGCTCAGCCTCTTAACCTTAATATTTGCGTTGCCTTAGAATTCGTTATTTATAATTACATAGGAGCGGGTCTCGCAGCCATGGAGGCAGACATCTTTGCGCTACGGCAGCGCAGAGCCAACAAACTAGCGATTGCGAGATCGCCCATTACGCTCGAAAGTAACTACGGCAAGTTGAGAGAGATGAACTGAGACGGTACTGAACAATAGATACTAAATACTACTATAGATACTAATAAATACTATCTGTAAAATTATCTATGTAAACAAACCTCATCACTTGAGAAGGTAGGTGATGCGGACGTCGTGGAAGACATTTTGTCCTGTAACGCTCGCCGTACTGTTGGGGGGGAGAAGCGGTGGGGGGGAGATGTTCATGTTGCTGCAGTCTGGACGTTAGATGTTGCTGAAAATTACACACTGTAGCTTTAAGGTCTCTGAATAATGGCCCATTTGCTGTTCTATGAGCCCTAATGCAAATGTGGTTATAAACCCCAGAATGAAACGACAGGTTTTCTTCCTTTTATCTTATGCTCATGAGTATTTAGATGAGCTCTGCGCTGATTGGTTGATTTACAACAAGCAAACCTGCTGAGCAAAGACGCTTCATAGCAACAAACACCCACTCACTGAAACATCTAATTGTTGATATGGTAGGGTGACCAGACGTCCTCTTTTTCCCGGACATGTCCTACTTTTCATATCTAAAAAAAAATGCCAGGGGGAATTTTAAAATCGTCTGGGATTTTGGTCGACTACGGTGCAGCACGTAGTCAAAACAGGGAGCCGGCGGGGAATGGAGCAACCGAACCCGATCCTTCCCCCCGCCTGGACAAGCATACCATCACCGGGTCGGGTTTGGTCTCTCCGTCCCCCACTGGGGCCCGGTCCGGTCCAGTCAGCACCCCTGTAACCTAACCCATTCTCAATAGAGAAACTGCCTGCTTTGTAATTTTTGTAGAAGTAAACCCAACTGTAGGCTAAACAGCTAAACTGGTGTCTTACATCTACCTCTATTCATGTTCTTGGGCCAGTGAACTAGTAGGTTGGTCCGTATGTCAATTTTGGGGCATGACAAAAGTACAGGCCAGAACCAAATAAGGCAACATCCCCGAATGGAAGTCAGTTCGGTGCTTCGTTTAAATGCGTCCATGGTGGAAGTTTAGAGTTGTGAGAGTGGCAGAGAAAGGTGGTGTCGATGAGGTTTGAACTTCTCTGTACGTCCATTTCACCCACTGAACTATTGTTATTCATCTATTACAATACAAACTTGATTTTGCCTTATATGACCCCTTGAATGGGAACATTCAGAGAGAGGCTTTGTGGATGTTACCTAAAGAGATCTTTATGATGAAGTAAAATTAAACATTGATTTCAGGAACATTTTTATAGAATAACAATAGAGCAGAAGTAGATTTAGTTATTCAGTTGTGGAGAATGAGATGAAATGCATGGGAATTTTTTTTTTATTTGTATGAAATGTAAGAGTCTTTAAATGCTAATGGACCTGTGTTGGTATGCTGTGTATTACTGATAAATCTCTGTGTTGCATAGTTGTTTTGTTTTATTTTTGGCCCTGTGGTCCTGGCTTGGACTAGTAAGAATTCCAGTTTTGTTGTCCAGGCAGTGGGATAGTTTTCATGACAGGCACTGGCTTGGCAGAAGAGATAAGTCTCCCCTATGATCTGCTTTGTCTCTGGCTCAGGCCTGCTCCTTTATGGCTCTTACAGAAACTGTGTGAGGATTAGATTGGGTCCGATTGAAGAGGGAAGCTTATACTGGAACACAGATGTATTAGTCACTCGTTCTAGGATAGAAGGAAGCAAAGGATCCCAAATTTACTTATGTCAGAGTGTTTGTCCTTTCTAGTGGTCCTGTTTTAGAGTTAATGTTTTAATGTTTAATTGAAGCTGCCAAGGCCGGCGATAGCAGCAGGTAAATGGTTAACATGCTGCCTTTCAAATCACAGAGCTTCACCATAATTTAAAGAACACAGTAAAGATCTTTTGTTTAAATCTTTTATATATAGAATTTCAGTAATAATAGTAGTGATAATAATGTAATAAATAAAGTGATAATAATGTTTCATACATAAAGATTGTCAGGAAGCATGTTGATTGCTCCCAAAACTCTTACCTGGTATCTAGTAAGGCGTTGGATATCATTCAGCATTTTGTTTCCCTTAAATTTGATGTGTACGAAACAGAAGGATGACGCATAAGGATGTAGGGTTTGCAAAGGTTAAGATTTGGTGGCTTGATGACTCAGTCGGAGTATCTCCAAAGCATCTGCTTTTGTGGGCTGTTAAGTATTTGGGAAGATCTGCACTCATTTTAAAGGAAACAGTATTCCCTGATTGCAGCAGTGTCTTTGTAGAAAGGAGCACAACAAGCACATTCCCAAATCTCTATCCAATTGAACATCTGTGAGATACACACAAACAAGGCTCTACCTCACAACTTAGGGGAATTTAGAAATCTGTTGCTGACATCTTGATGCCAGATGCCAAAACAATACAGCACTATCACAGCATGCCTTTCACTTTATATCAAGGAGAAAAGAAAAAAAAAATAGGGACACTACAAACACACACCCACACACATGTTATGTCCCATTATCTTTATGTGGACTTTCCATTGACTTCCATTAATTTTTCTGTCATATTTATGGCCCAACTCAGACCCTAACCCTAATCCTAACCATTACCAATACAAACCTAATCCTAAGCTTCACACCTTTCTCCTAAACCTAACCCAATCAAAGAGTAGTACTCTTCCTCATTTGAACCAGTCATTAGTCCTCACAATTTTGCATATTCCTGGAAAATGTATCTCCACAAGTTATCAAATAAATGGCCATAATGCATATATACAGCTGCTTATCATTGTTTTATTTCTTCTAAGTTTTCACTTAGAATAGAAGAGAACAGAAAAGCCTGTGTTGTCCCACAATGGGGAAATTGTGGTATTTACAGCAGCAAAAAGTTATAGAAAAAATGGTCACACAAATGTGGACCTTAGAAAAATGCAAAAAAAATAACATAATAGTGAAGAGTTAAAAGATAAACAATAAAATATTGTACTGTAAAGTGTTTAGACAATATAAAATTGTGCACCTGGAGAATAAATAACCAATATACAGCTAACTGATATTTAAAAAAAGCGGCAACTTCAGATATGTGTAAAATGACAGCAGCATGTTATTTAACTGAATAAGGTAGAAACTGTGCCAAATCAGCATGAATGTAACAAATTATAGAGGTTGTTGGGAACAGTGGTGGTTATAGAGTCTTACAGCTGCTGGGAGGAATAATCTGTGATAACGCTCCCTGGTGCATTTAGGGTGCAGCAGTCTTTCACTGAAGGAGCTATCCAGTTCTGCAACAGCTTCATGCACGGGGTGGAAAACATTTTCCAACAGAGATTTTAATTTAGTTAGGATCTTTTTGTTTCCCACCTCTTACTTATGAAACCAATCTTCATAAGATTTGAGTGATATAAACAGAGGTTCCTTTTTGTTCATCAAAAAATGGTCACAATTCCTTTGGAACCAATAGGTGGACCAATTATTAGACAAATGGTCACAACTCCATGCTGGATTGGTCTATATATTGAAATATACATTACATTTTCTTATCTGTAATGTAAAACTAATATTGAAGAAGCTCAGACTGTTGAGTCTGGATTGCTAACTAGATTGCTAGCCTATCTTCAGACAGTCATGTCATTATTATTTGAGCCTGCCACAGACATTTAGTTAGACTGATTCCAAACTCTACTGAATTTTGTAGAAGTTTTTGCTTTCCAGCTGCAGGCCCATCTGTCTCAGAGCACTGTTTAGCTGCCCAAACAGCTGTGCTTTTCTGCAGCTGACATAGAAACTAATCCATTCTGCTTCCCAAACATCTGTCGGTTTTATATCAAATCTACCTTTGGTCTTTTTTTTACCTGGTATAGATAATGTGACTTTGCTAAGAATTTTAGATAATTCTTTCTTTAATGCTACAAAATGTCTTGTGTTTGATTTTTACAGTTTTATTTTGTATCTCCCTTTCAGGGCACTGACCTTCCTAGACTGGCTTCTCCATAATATGGCTCTTCTCCACAGTCAAAAACCTCAGATTAAGCCAAATAAGTTTGGCCCGAACTGGTTGAGTCCCATTCAGCCTACTTGATCCTAGACTCACTAAAGTGGACTGTAGATGCTATTGGTACAATACGAAGATCTATGGATGATATTGGATATTTTTCCTCAAATAATAAATGAGAAAGGGTATTTCTTTACTTTAGACCTTTCCTGCTATGTTATGTTTGACCCATTCTCATAAAAGGGATCATAAAGTTCTCAGCATCAACTGATCTTAGAGGACCTCTCCTTCAGGGCCAAAATGCACCAGCTGTTTAGTCGGGTACTTGGACAGAGGGACCTGTCTAGAGCTGGAGACCTGTTCTCCCTAGAGGACTCAGAGATCGAAGACTGCCTCTCTCAAGCTCTGGATCAGATCAAGGACATATCCTGCGCACCGGTCAGTAAGCATGCCATAACAGAGAGGGGGGAAAAAACAACAAAAACAGTACAATGACCTTAGAGAGTTATGTAAATATTTGAATGATTCTTTAATGAATTATTCATATTGCAATGCATTATTCAGATTTTAAACTTTGCGCCCTGGCAGGACTATTTGACCAACGACAATGATCAGGCGGTGGTCGAGATATGCATCACACGCATCACTACGGCCATCAGAGAGACCGGCTCCATCGAGCGACACAGCACAGCCCTGGTGGGCCTGTGGGAGTCTTGCCTGGAACATAACCTGACTCCTCAAGGGGAAAGCACTGAAGACACGCCACATGCAAAGATAGCCTCTGACATCACCAGCTGCATCTTGCAGGTACATGCTGACCAGGAACACACACACACACCTAGCTCTGCGGTACATTTTAATATTATGTGCATTTAAAAAGGACATACCTTTACACTTACTTGTTGAAAATGATCTATGACTGCAGTGTTAATGTAACTCAGTTTTGCAGTCTTACAAAATTAAAAAAACATGTTTCTCAGTACTGAGATGTTTTCTTATTTACAACTGTTATGAAGAGTCTGTCAAACCTGTATTAATGCATTTTTCCCTCTCTTAAGATGACCTACTAACAGTTTAATACAATACAATGCTTTCAGATTTTTGCATAATGTTTGCAAAATACAGTAGTGGGAACAGTCTTGGCCTGCAGAATTGTTATCCTTAAATATTTCCAGTTTTGCCAGATAAAAAACACAAACCTTATTCGCTAGGATTTTATGTGACAAATCAACATAAAGTACAGGATAGACAAATTAATTAGATTTTATTTTGTTCAACTAACTGCTTCCAAAGGTAATCAGATTTGTAAATAGTATGTAATTTGATTTTAAATCCTAATGTTCTGTTAAGGCCTCAGACATTTGTAAGAGTACTGTAATGAATAAACTGCATCATGAAACCTGATGGAAAAAAGCACAGGTCAGGCTTACAGTATAAATCAGGGTTTGGTTATTAAATTCATATCCACAAACACTAAGTGGTGCTAGAGCTCATTATCTTCTTCTTACTGACCAAAAAAAAAAATACAAATCTTTTTTTCTTATTAACATATTTATATATATATTTTTTATAATTTTCCTCCCTAAGAGCCCTTTGCCCCACGCACTCACATGACGGGCCCTCGTCGGATGCCTTTTTGAAAGTGATGATAAGATTAATATCATGAGATGATATCAAGAAAAAAAATAAAAGCGTTCAACATAAAGCACATTTATTAAAAAAAAAAGTATGTAAAGACCTGCATAAAACACATCCATAAAATAAGAGTTTTACCTACAGCTCGTCTTTCAGTCTGCTCACACTGTACACATTGGGCTTCATTGGAGCGAGGCTGCAAATATGCTTATGTCTGAGACTTCTACAGTGGCGGAGACTTTTTTGAAATGTTGTTCCTCTCAGAGTGTGGAGTCCTCTCTTTTTCTCCTCTCTTATGTGTGATATTCACCCCATCTCAGCTCAAACTGCTCCACCTGCACTGAGACAGAAACACGCTTACTTCAAGCATGCAGCTTATTGGCCGACACGCATAAAAAATCTGCACCAAGAGAGCTTTTACAGAGAAACAGTCTGAGCTTAAACACAAAGTTTACCATTTGAATACCTCAGACATTTTTATTTGGAGCATTCATTACCTAACAAAAATCTTTCTTTTCATAGAAATGTATATTTTCTCCTGTTTTTCTCAAAAGAGGAACTGTCCTAAAGTTTAGATCAACAATACCCAGAGAAATACTTATACAAATTATATAGGAAAATGTTCAACAAAGGCATATATGCATTCACCAAAATAAAGAAAAGATGCTTGACGAACTACTTCTACCACTAAATAAACTTCAACTACTTTTAAAGTAAGCTCATTTGGAACGCTACAGTGGACATGTGTTAACCCATATGTAGCCTCATGATGAAACCAACAACACAGACTATGGGCACTGCATGAATCATCTAATCTTCTTCATGTAGCCAGTATGATACATGACAAAAATAATTCTTGGAGAGTTATGGTGCATGATGGGGAGTGGGGGAGAGGTCTTGGTGGACAAAATTATAAAAATATCTGTTAAATTAGGTATCAAAATAGAAAAAGACTACCTTGAGCCACACATCAAACACTGTGAGGGAAAAGGGGGTTTCTTTTGTGTCTGATAGTAAAAGAGCAGGTTATCTAGCACCACCTAGTGTCTATCTGGGCACATCCCTGCTGTATAACTGTATTCAAATATACTAGCTACCATTGAGCAGGGACCAGGAAGCTAATTAGAGTTGATAGAAGATGGATGGAGATCAGTATAGAAGAGACAGGAGCAGAACAATGACCCTACACATACAGCCAAGCTACAATGGAATGGTTTTGAACAAACCTTGTCTTAGAATGGCCATGTTTAATTCCCAACCTAAATATAATCAAGACCCCATAGTGTGACTTAATCATTGATCTTTCTGTGTGCATTGCATGGAATCTGACCTTGAGCTACTTCACAAAGAGGAATGAGCAGATAACAGTGTCTAGAGAAAAGCATATCCCTATAAAAATTTTAAGTGAAATAAACAAAATATTGCCTAAGGGTGCAGGATGTAATTATATATGCAGAATATAAGTATTTTTCAATACTTGTAAGTCACAGTGGAGTCCCAAAGTGTGGGTCCCACCCACACTCTGAATATTTTACACAGTTAACAGCTAAGCTTACAATAATCGCAGCTGAGAGTTTGTAGTTCTGAGATTTAAAGAAGACTGTAGTTTATTTCCTCTTTACTACTATTTAATACAGTTGACATTTCTGTGTTTAATTGTTGAAATAGTTAGTCAGGGATGGGGGGTATTGGGGTGGGGGTCTGGTCTTTCTTTTCTGGTTTATCATATAAAATGTACATATGATGAAAACAATGAAAGGGTTCACATTTTATATTTTATTTTTAATGTAACTATGTCAAATGCCAAACTCATTTTTAGGTATTATTCAGCATACCAATGTATCTACCTGGTGACACTCAGGTGAACCTTACAGCATCTATGATCAGCCTTTTTTGGTCTGTTGGGAGTTTAGAGTCTGCAGTATGACATTTTCAAGTCATCCTCTGTGCATTGTACTGATTCATTCATTACTGATGCAAAGAAAAGTACTGCTTGGCAGTCATGAATAATAAGATTATTTAATAATGTGCCACTTACTGGGGAATTTGAAATTAATAAGAAATGCCACTTTGCTGTTTTTCTGTTGCTCTATCAAGGCTTAGCAAACTTCACTCAGGTCATTTGTGAATGGATTACATATCCATGGCATTCCATGTCACAGCCTGGAAAGTAAAGGTCAAATCTCTGTATTGCCAGCCATGCGTACAGCTTTGCTGTCCAGTGTCAAAGAGGCCACAATGTACAGTACAATCAAACTGTGTTAGAATTAGTGTGCAGTTTTCAACAATGTTGCCTTAACAGTCTTAGCCAAAACTAAGGCATGGGGTTTGCATATCAGTAAATACATTCCTAGAGGTGCTATTGACATGATATCTTCACCAGATGTCGGTAACTATCAATGCAATCTGTGCATAGAAAGTAAGTGAAGTGTTGGAAAATCATGGTGTGGGGCTGTTATTTTAGCATATGATACTGGCAAATTCAAATAATTGAAGGAAAGATGAATAGAAAAACTTACAGAGACATTCTTCATAAAAATCTGTTGCCATCTACCAGGATCATGAAGATGAAACGTGGGTGGATTTTAGCAAGACAATGACCCCAAACACACAGCCAAGGGAATTCTCAATTGGATTCAGAAAAAGAAAATAAAGCTGGTTGAATGGCCTAGCCAATCACCTGACTTGAGTCCAATAGAAAATCTATGGAAAGAACTAACTATCAGAGTTCATAGAAGAGGCCAATGAAACCTTCAAGTTCTGAGGAATGTTTGTGTGGAAGAATGGGCCAAAATCACACCTGGGTAATGCATGCGACCAATTCCTCCATACAGGAGGTGTCTTGAAGCTGTCATTGCCATAAAAAGGCTTTTGTACAAAGTATTAAATACATTTCAGTAAGGGAGTTCAATACTTTTTCCTGTGTCATCTAACTTTATTACACATAACTTAATTTCTTGATTTGACTTGATTTCTTTGTATTTGTGGATTGCAAAGATTGCTATTGGAGAAAATGTGATGTCAATAGCACCTCTAGAAATATATTTACTGAGAAAAATGGTGCCATTTTTAATACTTATTCTACCTGCTGTACATAACCTTGTATTTTTCAAGCTTAATCGGTTTAAACACAAAGTAACTCCGCTCTGTGGTTTATCCGCCCTCTTTCCCTGTTACTTCAGGAATTGGAATTTGTTAATACCAGCCTAATTAGTCCGATTCTTCAGAAAAGGCACATTCACAAGCATATGCTCACACACACACACAGAAGTGAGACAAAAACTTCTGACAGCCCTGGTAAAGACGTGTGGCTTTCATGTCCCAGTTACAGTAGTTATCAGAGGAACATGTGCCTCTCTCCTTCTTTAGCTTTGCAATCTGTCCTTCCTAATCTCTTGTCTCCTTGATCTCTTTTATTCTGTCTTTGCCACACTGTCATTTTGAATTTACACAAAAGCTTTTCCTACCCTTCCAATAAAGCTCTTTTAAGGAGCAGCAGAAAGGTTGGAGGTGGTTTCTTTTGAGACAGGTTTATTTGCTTGAATGTTTTAGAAATAAAAGTTTAAATTATTGACTGAAGAATTATTTTTGCTTTCATTTGTACTCTTACATGTCGTTTTCCCTTTTATCCGGAACCGGTCTGCTGGGACTGAGGTCTCAGTAAAGACTCCTAGACTTCCCTCTCCCCAGAAACCTTCTCCAGGTTTGCCGGGGGAAATCCAAGGCACTCCCTGGCCAGCCAAAAGTCCTAGTCTCGCCATTGAGTCCTGGGTCATCCCCTGGGCATCCTTCCGGTTGGAACACTTCCTTAGGGAGGCATCCAGGGTATCCAAAAAAGATGTCTGAGACACCTCGGCTGTGAAGGATAAGCGGCTCTACTCTGAACCTCTCACGGATGACTGAGATTCTCACCTTTTGTCTAAGGGCGTGTCCAGCTACCGATTGGAAAAAGCTAATTTCAGCCGCTTGTATCTGGGATCTCCATTTCGGTCATGATCCAGATTTTGTGACCATAGGTGAGAGTAGAAACGTAGACTGACCAGTAAATAGAGAGATTCACCTTTTCGCTCAACTATTACCAGACGGGTGCATTATAGCAGCAGCCGCACCGATCCATCTACAGTATTGATCTCCCACACTATTGTCCCCTCTCTTGTTAATAAGACCCCAAGATACTTGAACTCCACTTGAGGCAGGAGCTCTTCTCCAACCTGAAGGAGAGAAACCACTTTTTTCAAGTAGAGAACCATGGCCTCAGACTTGGAGGAGCTCATTTTCATCCGTTGCTGTGCATGCTGTAGGTCTCAGCAGGAGGGAACCAGCAGAACCATATCATCTACAAAAAGCAGAGATGTAATCTGCTGGTCGCCATTTAGGGCTGGAAACTCTGTAGCATTGGCTTGACTGTCCCTGTTTGGGTTAGTACACTGTCAAATTCAGTGTTCTGCAATTAATCCTCTTCAGCCTTTTAAGATACAATGAATGGTGTACCTCAAAGGACTGTGTTGGGATATAATAAATGTTGTGGGTACCCACATACAATCTTCTGTTCATCTGTATGCTGATGATACCATGATGATGTGTGCTGTTGTTCTTCTACATCTGCCTTTGCTAAAGTCTGCATTTGATACCATCAAATCACAACTAGAAGAGCTAAAATGGGTACCGAACTCAAATAAAAAAAAAGCTATATTGTTTTCCAGCGAAAACAGTGCCTGCCATTTTATCCTCAGTTGAGTCCTCAGAAGGATCATTTATTTCCAGCTCAAAATATCTTGGTTTAATAAAAGATGAAAACTTGTTAGAAATTAGGCTTCTTTTCAGAAATAACAATTGTTGCTGCCACCCTGTTTTGGATTTTTTTGGACCATGGGGACATTTTGTATGGGAATTCCTCTCACAGTTATCTACATTTATCAGATGTAGTTTATCTGGTGCAGATAGCTAACCCCTCATTGTGCTTTCTACTCTTTAGTTAATTGGTCATAACTGACTCTTTACAGATTTTTCATATATTTCTATCTGATACATCCATCCTTGGTTTATCTACACATAGTTACAGTCTGCAATCCCAAGATGTCATACTTTTCTGTTCCCTTATTTCATAAATAGTAAAAAAAAAAAAGTTTTCTGTTGTTACACCTTTCAACAGGAATCATGAAAAAAACGAACTGAAACTATTAGATCAAATTTATATAACGAATTTTATTGCTATAAAAAAAAAAAAACAATTTCAGTCATTTAAAATAATTTTTAGTTCTTTTTCTTAATTATTTGTAAAATTGTGATACTATCTATAAGTAAGTCTAGTATTTTTTTTCTAAAAATATTGTTGTTTATTTCCTAACAGGCCTGTCTTATATATGAGAACTTCTGTATTAATGTGACTACCTGTTTAAGTAGAGGTTTAATGAAAAAAAGAACTACACTGGCCCGTGTAAGCTCAGAAGGACATTCCTGTTTTATACAGAAACCTTAACAACATAGACTAAGTTAAAATCTATGCTTTACAATGTACTGTAAGATGGAGAACTTTGTAGACTTAAGCAGATTTTTCCAAATCTTTAATTATTAGATCACTACAATATACATATAATAGGAAATTACCATGATTGTATTAAATTATTTTTGAATGCTCTTCATATAAATAAATATAGAGATAATTGGACTGATTGTGTATTGGCTGGAACAGTTTTTGTTAACCTAGTGTCTGCACTGTCATTATGTGGCCGAAACAAGTCATAAGAACAAACCTGAAAAAAGTATGATATTCAAAAATATATTTTTTATTGTTGCAAGGAATACAAATGTCAGTTCCTTTTTAAGAGTTATGGACTCAAGAGCTAATTTTTTTTCAATATGCGTATATATTTTGCATCAGTCTCTCCACTAGAGGGTGCTAGTGAATCTTAAATGCCATTCCCCCCCTCCCTTTTAGATCTGTGAAAACAACCTCTTGCCTAACAGTCTGTATAGATTTGATGCAAGGAAAAATGTTTTTGGCAAACCTATAATAACTATATTAACCTTCGCAGTTACATATACATGCTGATTTTGCTATCATGGATAGTTTACAGTTGTGTTATACTCTTTCTGCTTTCAGTGCATAGAAAGATCTTTAATCACTTCAATGATGCCCCCATTTTAAACAACACTGCAAAGCTATTTGGGTCCCTTGGTCTTTATGAGGCTGATCATTAATGTTCTGAAGACAAGGAAAGGCAACTTTATTTGTATAACACATTTCAGTGGCAAGACATTTCAAAGTGCTGTACATGAAAAAGAAAAATAAACATAAAAGGAAACCTATATTGCTCTGGCATAAAGGTAGTTAATAATTCATGAATGTGAATAGCTAAAATGAGTAAAAATGAATAATTAATTGATGAGGATTATAACAAATTATAAAATGACTGATAAGAAAATAATAGTAAAACTGGACTGGAAGCTTATAATCACTAGATACCACAGTTAAAGGCCACTGTCAAGTTTTTAATTTCAATTTAAAACAACTGAAGGTTTCCGCACTTTTGCGATTTTCAAGGAGTTTGTTCCAGATTAGTGAAGCATAGAAACTAAAAGCTGCTTCTCTGCGTTTGGTTCTGGGTGTGCAGACCGGATTTGAGGCAATTTGAGACCTGAAAGATCTGGTTTGTTGATCCTCTGACAAAAAGCCTGTGATATATTTTGGTGCTAAGCCATTAAGTGATTTAGAAGGGAACAGAAGCATTTAAAGTCTATTTTTTGAGATAGAGGGAGTTAGTGTAATGACTTTAGAATCAGGGTCATTTGTTCCACTTTCTTAGTTTGACAACACAGGCAGTGGCATTCTGGATCAACTGCAACAGCCTGATTGATTTTTTTTTTTTTTTGTTAGACTTATGAAGACACTGTGGTTGTAATCAGTTCTATGAAAGATTAATGCATTAATTATTTTTCTGAGATCCTGCTGAAACATTTGTCCTTTGATTTACAATTGATTTACAATAGCACTGCTGCTTTGCAGCAAGAAGTTCTGGGGTCTTTCTGCATGGAATTAGCATTTTCTCCCTGAGCATGCATGGGTTCTATCCAGTACTCCGGCTTCCTCCAACAGTCCAAAAACATGACTGTAAGGTTAATTGGCTTCTCTAAATTCTCCTTAGTTGTGAGTGTCTGTGTGAATGGTTGTTTGTCCTGTTTGTCTCTGTGTTTCCCTGCAATGAACTGGTAACCTGTCAGGGTAGACAGGTTGCCAGAGGCAGGGTATCCTCTCGCCCGTAGACAGCTGGAGATAGACACCAGCACCCCTCGCGACCCCAGTTGGGATTAAGCGTGTCTGAAAATGGATGGATGATTGGAAAATAACTTTGTTACAGTCTTTATGCCTCTGAAGGTTTAAGCAAACTCCTTACACTAGACCTTAATACCGAGATCAAACTGTTAGACTGTTGTGGTAGGAGATCTTGTGCTGTATATCTTGCGAAATGGGAAAGGTTTATCAGGCTATGAAAGTGCTATTTTCTCACTATTTGCAAAGAGTCTGTCTGTCTTTGACATGAAATTCCAATAACAGGCAGCAGTCTTTGGTTGTAACATTAAATATTATGAAAAAAGTAAAGTTATTTGAATACTTTTCTGAGGTACTTTTGTGTAAATGTAGGGAGGAAAGAGATTTTATTTGGCACATAAGATTCTTTTCTCCTTTGTCTCCTCAGAACTACAGTTGTCCCTCAGTCATGGCGCTGGCGGTCCCAGTAGCTGTGCGGTTCTTGCAGAGGGGGAACAGGGAGCTGAGCAGGAACATGTCCAGCTACCTCTCGCTGGCGGCTATAGCTAAAGCTGATCTGCTGGCTGAACATACAGGGGCCATAACAGTCAGCGTGCTGGAAGGTACAGTCCACACCCATGTAATCATTCAGCTGTAGGAGAGTCAATTATTGTTTTAGAAATGTTTATGCACCTGAAGTGAAGACTAACCATTTCTTATAGATATATTTATTCATTTTTGTTTAATAACAGCAACAACCGAACACAAGCTCAGCAGTGCAGTCCAGAGGAGACGAAAAGAAAAGAAAAAATAGAGGGCATACATACTTCCATTACCATAGAGTCCAAGTCTAAGCATTTAGAAATGCTAAAGACAGGATGGTAGACATGTGTCCTTCAGCATCGTCTAAGAAGTGCTTCCATACGCGTCCAAAAGTGTCAGTCTTAGAGTGGACGAGTCATAGTAGAAAGATATATATTTAAAAATAAGCTTCTTCCAACCAAAAATAGTAGGAGATTTATTAGAAATCCATTGTAACAAAATATTCTTTCAAGCACAGAAAATTTGGACATTAAACAATTTACTGTTATTTTGATTTTGGATATATTTATTTGGTAGACCAAGGAGAAGAGACACTGGATCGAGATCAATATTGGTTTTAATAATTTTCCTAGTCTCCACCAGAATAGATTCCCAATATATCTGGATCTTGGGGCGTGACCAGAAATGCCTCCATGTATTTTGCATTTAGGACACAAAGGAAGAAGAACTATTTTACTCACACGTGGATTTTCTCAAAATCAATGTAAGAAAACTCCTAGAAAATGATGTTTCTAACTGTGCTTTTTCAGACGTGGATATTTCACTTTGGGTGCTGGGTTGTTGAAATTAGGTATGTTATTCTAAAGCAATCAGATTACATGTTTATTCATTTGAAACAAGGAGTTACTGTTGCATTGGGAACATGCAGTAATCAAGCTGATTCGACCAGTTAAAGCTTTGTATTTTTGAAGTAATTACTATGTTTGGACCCATCAACCATTCTCTGACCATTTCAGCGTCCTGTTGACTTTTGCCTTTAACACGCTGGCTATGCAGCTCTGTTCTGAAACCTCAGCATAAACACAACAGTGAGGCTGATGATGGTTAGTTATATTAGTGAGCAGGACGGACAGACCGCACACATGTGTATTTATTACTGAAGCCAGGGGAGGGCTGCGTAGTAATGGACACATTGTCCTACTTTATAAATTTTTTTAGAAATGGTATTACTCAGCTCTTACGTATGTTTTGACGTATTTACATTGCGTTTTTGTCAGTTTAGCTTTTATTCGGTTTTATGAGAAATTTTGTGTATGTCTGCCTTCCCCGCTCAGAGAAAGAAAACAGCAGGATGCAGTTAGACAGTTTAATAGCTACAGCAGGATGTCTCACACACACACATGCTCTCTTACAACATTTGAACTAATTTTGGCTCCATGGGGGTTAGGTGCCACGGGGTTGCTTTCCATCTTAAAGAAAAACGCAATCTTAGGATACCCATAAGGTTTGGATTGCATCATCTAGAAGATTTATGGGCCTTTCTTTTGTGTTTGTACTGCTGCAAAACATATGTAGTTCTTCTGCAGCGATTCACAGGTTGTAGACATTTAGGGCAAAGTGGTGACGTATCTGAGAGGTGATCCCTTTCTTCAGGCATATAAACACACACACACCTTTACACACTAAAGCTGCCAGAGAAACATTGCAGCTCTGAGTTTCACATAATATTAATCACTGCAGTTTATTAAAAACTAAAAAGAAATTTGCTGTTTTTGTCTCAACACCTATCTGATTTGTCAGCTGCTTACCTAATTATTAAAATTAATTTTATAAAGTCAGATTTAAGGATAGCCAACTAGCGGTTTGATCAATTTCAATTCAATTCAGTTTATTTATATAGCGCCAAATTCACAACACATGTCATCTCAAGGCACTTTACAGTTCAACCAGATCATACGGTCAAATTGATACAAAGGTTTCTATCTAAGGAAAACCAGTTGATTGCATTGACTCATTGACTCAAATACAATCCCTCACACTAAGCAAGCTTGTAGCGACAGTGGAGAGGAAAAACTCCCTTTTAACAGGAAGAAACCTCCAGCAGAACCAGGCTCAGTGTGAGCGGCCATCTGCCGAGGCCGACTGGGGTTCAATGAGACAGAAGCAGAGATACAAAAAGCAGCTGTAAAAGGCGGCCCCGTCCAGGAAACACACAGCCAGGCAGACGAGCTCCAAGGCAGCTCCCATGCCAGAGGACGAAGAGAGCACATCCACTCAGTCACGGTCAGAGAAACAGGACCACACTTGAAAACAGGCCGATCTCCAACATCTATAAACAAGGGTGTTGATAGAAGCAGCACAGCTGATGTTTCTTTCCAGGATGGAGTCACAGCCAAACAGGAACAGACGAGGCAAAGCTACTCTGAGGAAAAGCACAATAGGAGAACAGAGAGAGAATGAAGCAGAATGATGAAATGGGGGTCCCTATGTCCTCCAAAAGTCTAAGCCTATAGCAGCATAACTATAGAGATAGCTCAGGATAACCTGAGCCACCCTAACTATAAGCTTTATCAAAAAGGAAAGTTTTAAGCCTAGCCTTAAAAGTAGACAGGGTGTCTGCCTCACGGACTAAAACTGGTAGTTGGTTCCACAGGAGAGGAGCCTAAAAACTAAAAGATCTGCCTCCCATTCTACTTTTAGAAATTCTAGGAACCACAAGTAAACCTGCAGATTGAGAGCAAAGTGCTCTGTTAGGAACATAAGGAACAATCAGATCTCTGATATAAGATGGAGCTTGGCCATTTAAGGCTTTATATGTGAGAAGGAGGATTTTAAATTCTATTCTTGATTTAACAGGAAGCCAATGAAGAGAAGCCAGGATAGGTGAGATATGATCTCTCTTTTTAATTTTCATCAGAACTCTGGCTGCAGCATTTTGGATCAGCTGAAGGCTTTTAACTACAGTTTGTGGACTTCCTGATAGTAAAGAATTACAATAATCCAGCCTTGAAGTAACAAATGCATGGACTAGTTTCTCAGCATCACCCCTGGACAGGAGATTTCTAATTTTTGCAATGTTCCTCAGATGAAAGAAGGAAATTCTAGAAACCTCTTTGATATGGGATTTAAATGACAGGTCCTGATCAAAAATAACACCAAGATTTTTTACTTTATTATCTGAAATCAGTTTAATCCCAGTTTAATTTCTTGCCTAAAGCAGCACTAAATATAACATTTACCTTATTATATCCTTTTCTAAGTCCTTATACTGGTGATCTAAGTGTTTATGAGACCAATGAGGGGTCTACAATTTCCCTCTTCTGTCTCTGTACAGTAGCTGTAGAATGCAGGGAACATGGACAGTCAGTGTTTACAATAGTGCTATTGTCAGAGGGTCCTGCAGGGGAAGAGCCAATAGAAATTAGTTTGTTGCTTTACCTTATTATTTATGCTGCTATTGTACATGATATCCATGTGTGTAATATAAACAGTGTAGATCCTATCTTAACATTGGGAGTTCCCAACATCCCAACAAGGCTGCCAACATCTTCTGTTTCAGCGTTTTTTTAATGACAGGCAAAGCTAAAAAGATCAAAAGGGTAAAATGTAGCAAATTGGCTTCGATTAAAGGGCTGGTTATACTCCCGCAGCAGTGTGTCGAGGTGAGTTTGTCGCAGGTATGACGCAGATATTTTTGATTTATGCCCAATTTTGAAGTGTTGTCTGTGCTATTTTATTCCACGCCACAACGAAAGAGGGACAATACTATACGAACTAGCTGTGGGTTCAAGATAGAGGTGGTGAGGAAGTGGACAACAGAGGGACATGAGGGGGAAAAAAGGGCAGAGATCAAGGTGGAAAAAGGGTCCCAGCGTTCTCGCATACCTCGCTCTTCTAGCTGGTCCAACTTCCCAAGTCATTTTCCGCAATGGCGGTCATAAAAACAAAACAAGCCGGTAAGGTACCAAACAGGAAATACGCATAGTGTAGAGCGGATGTAGATTTGACCTACCAAGGCCTCCTGTCTGCAGTCACCTACAATTTTGCATAGGTGCAGCAGAGTGTCTGCAGCAGGGGCGTGGGCAAATTTGCGTTCACTGCGACACACACGTAGACGACCTGGTTTCTGAGTATAAATCAGCCTTAAGCCTTCCTGTTACCTACTCAAAAACCTGCTCTTCATCCCTTTTTCACCCTGAAAATCTTTAAGCTGTCTATCTATAACTGGATACAAGACAAATTATATTGCAATAGAGAGTGTCTTTATAATAAAAGGGAAGAGGCATCATTGCTAGTTTTGTCATTAAGACACAGATCAGTTTTTACCCAGAGTGTGTAGTAAAACTAATTTATTCTGGCCATTTTGTTTTATATATCCAGCCCTTTTGGCCTGTTTAGCAGATGCTGTTCAGTAACCTCTACTACTACTACAATGTTGCTCTCACTCAGCTATTGGAAGTTTAAGAACCGCTTCCATCATGGAATAACAAGGCAGGATTTTGAGCCCAGGATTAATTTATTGCTGTTATGGAGACTTTTTTATAGTAACTATGTAACAATTTAACTGTAAATTATTTTGAAGAGATTTTGCGGATGTGAATTTCAAGGAGAAGAGACAGCTGCAGTCTGGGTGTAAAAATCAGTTGTAAAAATCCAGGTAAATTGATCTAAGAGTAGTAATTTAATGAGAAAAATGCTCTAGTTCCTAGAAAGAGTTCCCACAGTTGAAATACACCTAATGATACACCTTTAATTGTCTACCTTAAGATTAGCTTGATTTGCCTATGGTTTTTCATGGATTTTTTTTATGAAGCTAACAGAAAAAATACAAGTTCTCCCTAAATCAAAACAGTTTAAAGAAAATCAAACAACTATAATGGTAGATGTATGTCAGCGATTAGGTTGTTCATTTAATGGCCTTTCACTGTACTTTTTTACCCATCAGCATGGCAAAACCCTAATTTCTCCAAGTAACCAATCAGCATCCAGTATTGTAGTTAATGCACTCTATGTGAGTATCTTAGATGAACCAGTCAAAAGGGTAGATGTCAAGTTAATCTCTTTATTATTTTATATTTTTTTGAATTACTGAAGGCCATTTAAAAATTAGAATACAGTATACCATGCTCCCCTATTTTGTTTTTTGTTGTTCTTGTAGGATTGTATGGAAGCATCACTACATAAAGGCATGTATCTAGAAGCCATCAAGTAAACCAAGTATTAGTATTAGCATTTAGAAACTTAAAAAAAGAGAAAATAATAATTCATTTTAATTTCTGTGAAGATTTTAATAGATGAAAATGATGAAAATTGCTGTTTCTGACATCTAGGATCAGGACAAAACAAGAATATAGCTTTTCTACCTCAGTTTTAGTGTACTTAATGTATTTTTGGCTTGTTTTGGCAAGTTTTACTTTTAATTAAATTCTCCATCAAACATTGAGGCAGTTACTATTGTGTTTCTAGAGAAAAGTGAATCATATTTGTGATAATAATTAGTTTAAAAGATAAAGCAAAAACAATTCATTTCCTCTTTTATATACTGGGAAATGCAGCATTGTTTGAATTTAACATTGGGACGGAGATAGAAGTGTGATAAATATTTTTGTTATTTTTGCTATTTGAGGTTTATTTGTCTCTTAGAAATCACAGAAAAAAAGTTTTATACAATAAAAACATAATTTCAACTGTTTATCAATACCTTACGGCCCATTTATTAATCGTGTCATACAAAAATATTTATTTACAAAATACATTCTGCCTTTATCTTTTCACATGACCAAAACAATTTACAGTATAATACAAGAAACACATTTAGGCAAGTTCAAACATGCAAGATTAGACTGCGTAAACATTATCCCCACTGTCAACAAAAATATTGAAAATAATAGTTTTACTCTCTTCATACCAAAATGATAAATAAACCTCTAATCATTAAGAAAAAACAAGAAAAAAAAAACACCACAAAAAGTTATTCATATCACATCAATGTAAATACTTTAAAGTATATAGTGTTTTTATATAAAAAAAAAAATATTTTGTTTATTTTTTCACAGGTTCAAAACGTTATAACAAAATAAGAAAATAAACTCTACATTCTAGTTGTTCGTATCTAAAAGGCAAGAAGGCAAGTACAGCAGTTTCTAAAGTTTTGCAGATATTTGTTTATCCAAAAGTGAGTTTAATTTATAAATCTAAAGTTTCCACAGTCTTAACTAACCTAGCCATGTTTTCCCCTACGTTTGTGGTTCCTGTTAAAATACACAAGGAAGCATGTTTTGTATTGTTTGGCTGGTTAACTGCCCTTGCTGTTGTAAAATCCTCACAAGTCTAAAAGGAAAAATGTCATTAGCCTGCAATTACAGCGTAATCTGTTGTCGTTGTGTTTAACCTCTTGTTTCTGCTTGGCTGTCTGGCCTTTATTCAGTTTGCTGAGTCAGCAAACTGAGTCAGCAGCTCTTTGTTTTTTTAGGTGTCTAATTGGGTGTTTGGCAAAAGGTTCTCGCAGCAAGCTTACGTTACATGTCAGGTTTTCTGAGGCGAATGAACAGAATCAGTTTAAATAATATGTTATAACAGGAAGTACAGTTTCTCACAGCATTCGGGTTCTTTTCTTTTCTTTTATGATGATGGCTGTAAAGATTGTACAAACAAAGCCAGTCTTTGCTATAAGGACATATTGAAGTGAAGGTAAGGAAATATGTTTAGGTGTCCTCAGCTTCGGCTTGTCCTTTCTTAAAGGATAATTATACTAGCAATGATTAGGATTTTTTAAATGAGAGATCAGTAGATAAATTTAGCTCCTCCATGTGGAACCATCTCTGTTACCCCCCAAGCCACTGTGTTCCCCGTGTGTTGGCAGCCCTGGCCTCGTTGAACAGCCAGCTGGGATATTTCCTCCTCTGACAGCACTTTGTCCCACATATTCACCCCTGTCATCTTCCCAGCAAATGCCAGCTTTGGATCGAAACCGTCCTCAAACCCGACCACACCACTCCTGCCGATTGGAGACTGAGGGCAGCAGCCGTTTCTTTCTTGTCCCAGTCTGAGTGAGCCTCCCTCTGGTAAAATGTGTCCCTTGGACATCCCAAGGCTGGATGCAGCTTTCTTGCCATCCACCCACAGGGTCGCCAGGCCTTCTGCGGAGGACCAGGCTCCACACAAGTGGATCCACTGTCCCTGGCTAAACACATTCCTCGCCTCCACCTGATCAGCTTCCTCTCCAATGATGAACAGTGCAGAGGTCTGAGCCAGCAGGAGCTGGATCTCAAAGGGGTTTCGGTGGCGTCCGTAGGAGAACAGCACAGTTTTGTTAAATACTGAAGTCGGCTTTACCCACATGCAGATAGTAAAGGCGGACGGAGACAGAGGGACATCAGGAATCACTGCAGTGTAAATCCGACGGGAACGCATAGGGAACAGGAGGGCCATCTCACATCCTGTACAACCAGACAAAAAAATAGTAATTCAGTAAAAAAACACTAATTTATTTGCAAATAGAGAATTACATTGTTGTCTTGAAATATCATGTGACATTTAACACATGAATATAAACAAAAGTAAGGTATAAAATAAATCCAATCGCATAAAAAGGGTTTAAATGAGACATCATAGAACAAGAAAGGGGTTAAAGAAAGGTTTCATCAGTTGATTTCAATTTTTTATCCCCACTGTACTTCAGGCCTGTTAGATAACATCAAGAAAAACTCTGAAACCAAAGGGAACCTTTGGCCGATCTAAACTCAATGAAAGAAAATGACAAAGCCGATTAGTTTTTACTTATAACCAGCAGTAATCTAAGCAATAATCAATTTTAGGTAAAACAGCTTCTAGGAAGAATTGAGGATAACTATTTTGTTATCTTGAGATTCCAGATATTATTGCTCAGAGGATGCATGAATGTGGTAACCAGAATTAGATCTAAAAGAGAACCCTTGGGGACAACATTATAGGATAAGAAGATATGAACATGTGATTTTTAAAAGTATATTAAAAGAAAAAAGTGGATATGTTACTACTGTAAATTTATTTAAAAAATATACGTTTCAGCTTTTTTATCTTATTATGCATAAAATAGTTTACCCACCTATACATTCACAGTGATGGGTGGGGTGGGTTTTCATTTTTCATTGGGTCAGGTGTGAGGAACAAAGATAAATTCACTACTAAGGACAGTTTAGGAAACTGTTTCATCCTATATTTCATTACTTATTTATACAATTTACTCCAAACCATATCACTTAGTCATTGGTTTGTATATTTGCTCCCTAATCTTATCAAACAGTAACTGAGAAATTGCAGTTATTGCTCTTTCCTGGAGTTTAAGTCCTTTTCAGTCCATGTTTAGGTCATGATTTTAATTTTTTATTTTTTTGTCCCACACATACATCTCTTGGTATCTTGACACATTTTTAAATCTTTTTAGCTGTTATGTGTTTCCCTTTCTCTGTTTACCCCCTCCACCCTCGGCTTAATTGTTTTTGGCATTCCTGTTAATTTTCACACCCCCACCCAGCTAAAGGGGGGTATCCTAAATATTGATGTTCTGTTAGTCTCAGGTTTCCGCCACTCAGAAAGTAGATGTTAGGGGGAAAAAAGCTGTATCTGTGTGAGTTAAATGTTGGCTTCCATCTGTTTCTAGTTTCTCAGGGTGTTTAGGTGTGGTTCTTGTGGCGAATGGGTAATGAGCACACTTCCTTTTACTCTCTTCATGTTGGTCTGAATAACACCTCTGAACCTTAATAAAAGGGGGATGTCATGAGTAAAACACCTCATTCTCTTTTCCTTGGATGATGGGCCAAATCATGGTTTGCTGCTCTCTTTAAAGTGAGACTTCTAAGAAGCAAGATAGCCTCTCTGTCTGAAAAGGATGACTTACCCAAGAAGAAATCTTTTGAATGGTGTTAGACCCAGTAGAAGTCATTTGACTCAACTTTTGCTTGGCTAGACTTTAAGCCCACAAAGACAAAACTTAGCTAATGTTGTGTTACCTAAATGTGGTTATTTTATATGCAAAACCTGAATATTTTATATAAGATAAACACAAACTTAACAAAACAGCTGTCAACATAAACAAACTGCTGGTAATTCGGTGGAAGTTTTTACCTGCAGGTAAATGTCTTTGCCTTGATACCTTCAGGTCTTCGTCCAGCTCAGCCTTCATTGCTTGCAGCGTAGCTAGCACCCCGTCCAAAGCGGCCTCTCGTGACGTCACATCCTGGAGCTGGAATCCATTTTTGCCATTCAACCCAAAGCCAGCTCCCACACCACTGCTGAGGCAGCTGCTCTCCAGCTTGGTTAGTCTGGATGTTTGCTTATGCGCCGCAGAGAGAAGTTGCTGTATCTGGGCCTCCAGATCGCTGAGCTTGAAGCGCTCCAGAGTCTCTTGTACACGATCCTCCATTTGTAAGACTATCCGTCTTCCTGCTGTCTCCACTGCAGCGCCACAAGACCCTCGATACTCAGCTATAAACCTGTCAAGGAGGAGTGGAAAAGACTTGCTAATTTTTCAGCAGAAGAGCCTTAACCCTCTTTTTTGTGTTGCATAAAATCACTCTTTATACCATTACATGAATTTAATTTAATGGGAGGTAATTTCTTGGGGGAAAAAGCCTCACCTATGCAATTCGTCACGCAGTAACCCCAGCTCAACCTTGATGATTTCATCAGCATGCTGGAGCAGCATGTTCTCTCTCATTTGGCTGTTCTCCAACATGGAGAAGATTTTGTCCCATTTTGTCAGGTCCGGGGAGTTGCAGGGGGGGGAACTCGGTGTGGCTGCAGAGAGAGACAATGAAAAGTAGCACAGGAAAATTAGATGTTATACATCTGGACTGTTTTCTAATAGATACCCTTAGGTTATTGTATATTTTTGTATTCCATTAAGTTGGGTGTCATCCTTGTTGATTGACACACATAGTGAATTAAGGTGAGAACATATGTTCAAACTAAGTGTTCAACTATTGATTAACCTGGATTTCATCAATTTTGCAGAATCAGTGATGGACAACTACTTATACAAGAAGCCAAACCAGCCATTGTCAACTCTCTAAACTTTTCATATATATTTGTAATTGGGAAATTCACTCTCTGCATTTGACCTATACCCTTGGTAGTGGGCTGGCATTGTATGGAACCCGGGGAGCAATGTGGGGTTAAAGGTCTTGCTCAGGGATCCAGAGTGCAGGCTGTGGGGATCGAACCCGGTACTTGCAAACTTCTCAGAGCACAAGCACACGGCTCTAACCACTAGACCAACACAACAGAAGTTTTTTTTTATTTCACGAACAATGTTCAGTGTTTTTCACTAAAATAAGACAAAACATTAAAAATGTATTCTGTCTTATAACACCTGACCTTGTTAGGTTTAAGAAAATCTGAATTTTAAGATGATCAGTGACCAGACAGGAAAGTTCGATTGCTGCCCCCTTAAGTCAAATTAAACACATCCTCCAGATATTTGACACGTTCAGCCAATCCTAAAATACCTCTTGATGTTCAACTTGGAGAGGGAGAAATGCTTAGCAAATTTTAAATATAGGCTCAGTAGGTCTAGAACAACCCCCACATTGAGAAATGTGGGGGTTAACCAACCCAACATCAGATGCTCTATGGTTGAAACATCTACGAAAGTTGGAAGCTCTGCTTCCAACAGCTTTCACCAACCCCTAGTTTAGAGTCAACATGGCTGCCTAGGCATCCTCTCTCATTTTATCAATATTACTGATAGTATTGTACAATCTCTACTTACCAACGCTTGTTCTGTTTCATCAGCTTATGTGGTGAATTAGCTTACCCACCACAGTATTTATGTTAAACATCCCAGTTTCATATCTTATTTTTACGTGTTCTGAAAGCTACTTTTCATGGATTGATGAAATATTTCAAAACTCCGAAATATGGTGAATAAAACAGGACCAGACGGAGAGTAGACATCAGGTAGAGACAGCAGGTAGAATGTGAATCTGACTGGAACAAATCAGGATGTCAAGTTGTCGGGAGAGAGATATGAACATGAGGAGGAAACGGAATAATTTCCCCTGCTGTGTTTCCTGCGAGATTATCTGGCTCTGCGCCGTAAAATGAGGAGGGAGGCGGAAGCAAAATAATGTGGAGAGGACGTGTTTAGAGAGGGAGAGAGATAACAGGAGCAGTGGGAAGCATGGAGTAAACGGCTGGGATAAAGTAAATCTGAGGGTTAAAGCAACAAGGACTGAGAGTCATATATGTCACACATGCTGTTCTGGTTAACGTTTTAAGCTTTTAGCCTCTGTTTATACCTGCAGATCTATTCTCAGGGGGTTGGGGGTGGGTGACATGGGGGTTATATTATTGCAGGTCTACATTGCTTGCTTCAGCTTCCCAGCGTCCATAGTTATACCATATAAGATGGGTTTGGCTGGTCTGTTTTAATAAACTATCTGTGCAGAGAGTATTTAGGGTTTTAAATGATTTGTAATTAATTTGTCACAATAATCCAATATCAATTCATAAACAAGATGATAAAATGCTTTATTTGTAAACTTTTAGTGAAGTAGTGAATGACTCTCTTCCAAATGGGAGAAAGTCTTACCTTTGAGGTAAACACCCTCCTTTTCCTGTCTGCTCAATGTCATTTTTCAGCCTGTCAGTCATGCGAAAATGAACTGTACCATGACCTCTCTCATGTTGCCTATTATTTCAGACTCCTCTCAGAGAGTGGGAGCTTTGAGCGGGTCAGAACAAGTGACCCATGTCTCCCTCCGACCTATGACCTCCCCTCATCCTAACACACCTGCGAACAAACGGCTCTCGACTCACATGCTTGACCTTTTCTGTCCCTCCTCCCACAAACTCATTATAAATTCTGTTTTTCGTCGCACCTCTCCCCACCCCATCCCTTGCACTAATGTGTGTATATTTTACCACCCAGTCACTTGCCTAGAGCCCCTCTAGTTTTTGCCCTCCATCACGTTCAATCACATTACAGGCGGTGTGCCCAGATTGTGGCCTGTTAACTGATGGGGCTGCAATTATACCTCCTACTAGGATTAGAAAAAACAAACAAATGAGGAATGCAAACTGTGAAGGCCCTTGTTGAAGCAGAATAAAGCACACATGTGGTGACTTTGTCTTTTCTCTCTGGTCCTGCCTACCTCGGATTGCCAGGCAGAACTGTAAGCGTGCAAACAGAAATTTGGATAAACTGAGAAAAATTGTGCTGTTTCATTCAAGTTTTCCTATTCATAAGTAACCAGAAATAACCAGACAGTCTTATCGTTTGAACACAAAAGCTGAAACTTTAGTTGTGAAATTAATTTTTTTTTCCAATTTGTAGAGCACATTGGGATTCAAATCATACATTTCTGGCACTTATCTAATAATAATAGTGTTATTTAGTTTGCTTCATCACAGAAAGATCTGATCTCACCTCAGAAACAAGCATCCTTTCACCACAGCCAGAAAATAACTGAAAACAACTGTTACCTGTGTTTCCATTGCAATAAATGAATGTGTCTTGCAGATAATCAGTTAACTTACGTGCTGCCGGTTCTCCATCTGGGATTTCGTTATAGTAGTCAGCGTAGTTGATCTGGATGTCATCCTCGTAGGCGAACGTGACACTCGCACACAGACACAGCAGAAATGCTGCCTCAGGGATTCCCCACCAAAACATGCTGCTGCCGTCTGAGAGAGTGTAGAAGATGTGAACAAGTGCTTTCCCTGCGTCTCTGTCTTTAAGAGTTTAGCTGTGGGACAGAGTGATATTTCTATGTGTCTTTAGGGTTCTTCTGCTGCTGCTCCCACGTTTCTACAGACCTGCAGGTCCAACAGTCTTTTTTTAAGCCCTCACTCTCTCATTCTGCATTTGTCCCTCCTCCTTCTCTAATGACTCCCCACCTCTTTCTCTTCATCTCTGTTTCATTTTTTCCCCCCCTTATACTAAATGCTGAGCAACCCTTTGACTGGAAGCCCAGTTTTCCTGGAAGAAGAGCTGCCAGGGGTCACTCATACTCATCTACATTTCTGTGAAGTAGTAATTAAAATATTTCTTTAATTTTTTTAACATAGTTTTCTTTTTGTTGTCTTCATATTTGGGGATTGAGATAATTATAGTAACTTCTGTGTGTAGATCAGCTTAAAAGAAAGAAAGTGAACGTAAACCTCGACATCGATACATCATCAAATGACCACTTAAAATAGATATAATAAAGTTTTCAGCTCCATTTTCAGTTTTCAATGTGAAGATTTTCATGATCTAAAGAAGAGAAACAGGCCGAGACACATGTTATTCATTGAAGGGTTAGCTTGAAAACCTAACCACCTCGTACAATGCCAACCTGCCCGCTAACTTTGAGAAAAAGCTTAATTGTATAAACAAAAATAACCAAGCCTGATTCAGGCTATTGTTGTCAGAGTGATCTAGTTTTAACCAGCTTTGTTACTGTGTTATACTTTGTATGGAGAAACTTAGGCCATGATGCACACTTTATACAGCGGTAATCTCAGTCTTTTATTATAGCAAACTGGCTGCATTGGTAAATGGATGCAGGCAAAAATCTCACCTCATATTTTAAAATCTTTACATTATCAGTCCATGTTCTAATTGTGAGCAATAGTTTAATAATATAGCTCTCACAGCATTGTAGCAAGGACAGCGCCTCTTTTGGCACTCAAGCTTTTAGTCTTTTTATAGAATTTATTTTTTCTGTTTCAGATAAATTTTTTACCATAAAAGTAACTTTGAGATTTAAATGTGTCTGTTCAATAGCGCCATAGATGTTATTCTGTGGTTAAAACAAATCTATGTATTCTCTGCATTTTAAACTCCAACCCTACAACCAGTTATTTGATTGTTTGGGTGCTGAATCTAAAAGTGCTATCTCAGCATGTTGTGACCTCCTTGTCCCTCATCCATTCCAGGTGTTTCATAGTCCCCTGGTCTAAGGCTTTTTAAATAGACTATTTTTATAAATATCTCTTACTTTTACATCATTTGAAGGATGTTTGAGAAAAGTACTAGTGCTTCCTTTTTACAGTTTACTTGTATATGTTGTATTTATATTGCCTTATGTTTTTTCTTGTGAAAAAACAGGTTTTGGTTTAGATTAGCTCCAAAAGGTGTGTCATTATTCCATATATGGTCGTGCCTTTTCATTTTAAGGGTTGTTGCATTAAAATGAATTATCTGGTAGAATCTGGCTGATTGGGATGTATATATATCTTTCTAATTAGGTTTTCAGGTCCTAAAATATGATAAAATGAGGTCATTCGGAAAGTTATTCTGAAAAACTCTTCTCATTTAACAATAATACATCCATCATGGTTTCTACAGATCAAATCTGTCTAAATAAGGTTTTCAGAAATTCTGTTGCATCCTCTGTCAGATTAGATTGCTTTTTTACTAACTGCTGGCTTTAAGGGATCGTACAAATTTCCTAGGACTCTAGGCTGAACAAGCCCGCAAGAAAGCTGAATCAGCATCTTTGTGTGATGTAATTTGTTACATGTTTAGCTTAAAAACTTTTCAGCCATTTTACCAGAAATGTTCAACAGAATCAACGGTCAAACACACGGGGAATATCCGTTGAGGAAATAAGAAGATTTTTCTTCCCTCTCTAAATCTCCATCCTTGTGCAAACATCTGGAATTTGCAAACAAGAAGCAGCGCCTCGGCCTTCGAGTTAGGCGATGACTCATGCGCTGTTGGAGGTAGCCTGCATGGCGTAATAAGATATAACTGCTACTCCTGTGACTCACTTGGTAAAAAAAGGGAGGGAGCCAAAAAAATAACAGGAGGCGAGGAAGGAAGCTGGGACCCAGATTCTTGCCCCATGCAGAGATGTAAGGGTTTTCGTGTATAGAACATATTTGCATAAAACCTTGATTCTCTTTTTGGTTTATTTACAAATCTTATATTCCGTTTCTTATCCTCATTATTTCTTTGTGTCTGTATTTGTCAGATGGGACACCATATGGATGGGGAATCCACATAGATTGTGTTTGTCTGTTGTCATACTAACTTTCTCATGGGAAACACTCATCCCTGCTGCCTTGTCTTCATCATTCTCTTTGTCTTTGTCTTTCTTACTGTGTGTCTTTTTTGCTCTCCCTCTTTTGCCTTGTAAAAAAGTAATTTTTATTTTGGTGTAAAAGGGGGAGTTTTAGGGAAATATTAAATAACTCCATCTTTGTTTTGAGCTTGTTAAAGATTTAAGTTGCTGCGTCTTGAAAGAAACTTTCCACTTTATCACTTAAGATGCATACAATAGTCTCATTTCTTCTGTGAATGTAAAGCAGTTTTATCTATAAAGTTGTGATATGAGACCCATACTTTGAGAAATCTGAATGGTTAACTTATACTTTTGTTTTTTGCTTTTGTTTTTTATTGTTTTTAAGGGAATATTTTTTAAAAAATGTAAGAATGGTCTTTTTAATAACTGGAACACAGTAGAAATTATATTTCTACAAATCAATGCAAAATTTGAAACTTAAGTGAGACAAAGCTTTGCAAAAGGTATATAAATTGAAACGTTTATTAAAAAGCTTCTTTGTCTGCAAATATGCTCTATCTGGAATGCATAAGTGAGGTGTCTTCTGAGAATTAAAATTGATTTTCTTTTAGCATGTTTTTACCATCTACAATGCATTCAAAATGTACAATATATATATATTTATTAAGTTCGAACACTTTTTACTGAGTTACATTATTTTACTGAGACTATTTCTTTTTAGATTGTTCAATTAATCCAAATAACTGAGTTAACAGTGAGCAACCGAAGGGTTGTTGGGCTGAATCCCACCTTTGGCTTTCAACAAGTTTCTGCCCTTGTGCAAGACACTTTAACTGCATTGTCTATTTGAGGTGGTCAGAGTGGCCTGTTGCGCTGTGTATGGCTCTGTCAGTGGCAACTGTGTCATGCTATGTAAAACGCTTTGATTTAGTCTCCTGACTCAAAAAGCACTACGTCAATACAGGCCAATTACCTGAAAGATATTTAGCAGATAGAGGTAGATTTATGCTGCAGTGCCACCTGTTATGAACACAGCAAAAAAGTATTTTTTTTCTTAAAATAATTGCATTTTTTCTTGAATTGAAGAGGTAAGTAGGACACTTTGCCAATGGAACAAGATAATTTACATTTAAAATGACAAAATAACATTTGCATTTTCTTGTTTTAAGCACATATTATCGAATTATTGCTTTTTAAGAGTAAATATACTAATTCCAATGGCAATCATCTTATTTACCTACTCAATTTAAGGATAAATATACTTAATAAAATACATTTTTACTTATTTCTAACTCATTTTTGCAGTGTAAATGGACACAAACTAGAAAAAAAATAGAGCTTAAAGAAAGATATAAAAACCATGAACTTTACAAAACTTAAATATAGTTTCTTTTTTCTTTACCCCCTTGCCCTTTACTCCTTTGACATTGACAGTCTGAATGCATGTACTTATCTAATATTTACTGCCATCCTGTAAGTTCTTCTGGATATGCATATTGCGTACAGTGATGTTTCTTAATTCATGTGATTTGTTCTCCAACCCTGGTCTGAATGAGTGGCTAAGATTACGCAAATTCTGCATCGAACATGTTGCTACCCAGGAGCTTGGCTCTTTTTAGCTCTTCTCAGGTTTTAGTTTGGGGGCCACAGAGCAATTTTGCCTTAATGAAATATTGCTGCTCTGGGGCAGAAAGCTCTGTTAATAAGTTCAGCTGAATAGCTTTCGAAGAAAACCAATGGATATTATCTTCATCTTTGCTCAGATAAGATTAAGATAAATCTGTTCAGTTTACGGAGTTCAGTTAGTTTTCTTATTAATACTGTTTTCCCAGCACAACAACAAACATCATTAAACATGTATTATTTAAAAGGAACTCATCACAAAGCAGTAAATAAACAACATTCTTGTGGTAATAGTTTTCTTTTTTTTAATCTAAATTTCGTCCAACAAAGGGACATATTTACAGTTTCTGCCCCAAACCACAGCTTGAATATATGTGAAGCCGTGTAACTAAAGCCAGGAGAGAATGACTATACTTTGACCCAAAACAAAGAAACCAGCTCAAAGATCTAAATGAAAAAAAAGTGGATTTGACTTTTTCAATTGTTTCCACATTTATGCATGGAGATGAAATAACAGGGCTCTTCTTATTTGTGGGATTTTGGCACTGTGTCAATCAAGAGTCAATCTTTTATTGCGACAGCTAAACTCTGGAATTGTGGTATGTAGGAAAAAACAAATCAATAACAGAATAAAGTGAGTAACACGGGTATTTCTATCTGAACTTTAAAAAGAAGCATTTGTGGACCCAGAGAATGAGTGATTTCAAACATTGGCATTTAAGACATGCCAGAGCCAGCGGCCATAGATTAAAAGGAGAAATACATTATCACAGAGAGGTAAAGCAGAAGGCGAACAGATGTTACATGCCTAAAGGCAGAAAAGAAATAGATGTGTTTGCTGTGAATTTAATGCTGCATGTATGACTTGATAAAATGTACATTTTTGCTATTTGAGGATGGTATAAATCCAACTTTAAACAAATCCAAAACACCCAGCTGAAGGCAGAAAATGTATTCAGTTTCTTGCATTGAAGAACAATGATGACATTTTTTAAATTTTTTACATTTTACTAATGAATGTTGTTTCATATATGCTCCTGTTGAATGAATCACTGTCATTAAGTGCTGAATCAGCAGTAATAGGAAGTGAGTAATTTGTCTGTGTGGGATTTGTCATAGTTTGAAGAGATGAAGCTTGTATGGAACGGTAATGATCGATGATATGAAAAACGCTTACCTAAAAAACTCTAAGAAGG